GCTTCTCACTCTTTCCAAGTCTCTGCCAGCCGTTGAACCTCTTCCCACAGGCAGGCACTTCCTGGACCCAAGTCCCCAGAATCCACAGAACTTGGGATCTTGCAAGATCGTTAGCAATAACACAGTCTCGAGTGATTGTTCACTATAAATCACAGGCACACAGGCTCTTCACAAACAAGAGTGTAAATTGAATAAGCAAACAGAATTAGAGAAGATATCGATCATGCTAAAGACAATTTGGCTGAAAGGTAAGCATGCGAGTCATTATTTATTAAAATGGAATTATATGTTCCCCATTCCTGGTGTGCTACCTACCTCCTGAGAGACAGAGGGAAGGCTGTGGTCTCCAGGAGAGTCGGGCCTGATTTTTACCTTTCATTATAACCCCAGTGCCTGGCACATAGCAGGTACTTAATAAGTGCTAGGCGACTGACTGACTTGGGATGAAGAATGAGACATACATTTTTGGACACGGTCAATGTGAGAATTTGTTTTGCCTGACTATGCATATTTGTTACAAAAGTTTTATTTTATTTTTTTTCTTTTTCCATGGATGGGGCAGAGGGAGTGGGGAGGAAAAGAGAGGAAATAAAGTCTTGTTAACTCTAAAAAGTTTAATAGAGAAGCAGCTGGGTGGTGAGGTGGATAGAGCACTGTTCCTGGAGTCAGGAGTCAATTAACCATTACCTACCCAGAAAAAAAAAAGTTTAATAGAATTAGCTCAGTTAAACTTAGCTTTAATTGTACCTAATAGTGATTCATATATGCTAGAGCTGGGAAGAGAATATAGGCAGAAGGGATAGGAACCAGGGTTCATGACAGAGAGAAGATACCACAGTCATACAGAATACTGGGAACAGAAGCACATGCTACAATGTGCCGAAGGAAGTACCTCCAGGAAGGGAGGATCCTTTCTCAGGGTCCCCCGGACCATGCACTCATGCTGGAGTGTTTTGCAACTCCAGTTTAAGTAGAAAGGATGGATTAGAGATACTTTGAGGCTCTTAGATAGAGTGAAGGAAAGCTAGCTACCTGCAAAGATAAACCCGGAGACCAAGGGGATGAGTCCATCAGCAACTCACCTTATGGAGAAAGAAAAAGAGTATACAGGTGTGTAGTTGGGCTCTTTTCTAAGTCAGGAACACACACACACACACACACACACACACACACACACACATGCATGCACCCCTCTCTCTCCACCCCCTCCCCAGAAGACAAAACAAAAACCCACCAAACAACATGGCCCCTATTCTTCAGTTTTATACATTTTTTTCAAACTTTGAAACATGTAGATATCATCAGCATCCCCTCACGACCTTCCCATGGTAGGCAGGTTATCACAAGTATTCTTTGTCCTCTCTCTGTTATCTGGCCTCACAAACATTTGTTTCTTCTCTACATAAACAAGTTATCACAAAAGATCATTCTAGAACAGGTAGGTTTCTTCTACTGGGACCAGAACATACCGTTTGTGGCAGGGCGAGGTCACCTGTGGGGACAGTCTGTAGACGGTGTTCTGCCAGATTCTGTTCTGGGAACCACACGGTGACCTTGCATTCTTTTCCTGGGCCTAATCTCTTTTCGTTTTGTTTCGAACGTGGGGGAGAGCTTAGAACTGTCAGTTCGTGCTGTATCTTTAAAAAACAATTTTTTTTTCAATTCACAAGCATTTGTTTTCTCTCCTTCCTACCCCCAACACTGGGGTGGGGGAAGAGAAAAGAAAAAAGTCTCATAACAACTAGGCAACACCCAGCAAAAACAAATTCCCACGTTGGACATGTCCAACAACGCGTCTTGTTCTGCTTGTTTGTCCATCCACTCCCTGTCGGTAGGTAGCCCTCCTTCTTCATCACCAGCCTCTGTAGCTTTATGGTTAGTCACTGCATTGATCTGAGTTCTTAAGTCTTGGAAAATTGTCCATTTTTACAGTGTTGTTCTGGAACATATTGTCTGTTCTTCTGGTTTGCTCACTTTACTCCGCATCACTTCATCCAAGATCTAGGCTTTTCTGAAAGCGATCTCTTTGTCCTTTCTAACAATACAATATCATACCATCACATTTGTGCCCAATATGTTCCACCAACTGACCTTTCCCTTTTTTAACTGGCATCAAATAATTGGGATTATTACTGCTTTGTAATACGATTTGAGATACGGTATTGCTAGGGCTCCTTCCTTCCTATTTTTTTTCATTATATGTCTTGAGATTCTTGACTTTTTGCTACTCCAGATGAATTTCATTATTACCTTTTCTAGTTACAGAAAGCGATTTACTGGTAGCTTGATTTACATGGCACCGACTAAGCAATTTAATTTAAGAAGTATTATCATTTTTATTATATTGGCTTAGCCTACCCATGAGCAATTAATATTTCTCTCATTATTTAGGTCTGTTTCTATTACCATAAAAATTGTTTTGTAGTTGTATTGACATAGTTCCTCTGTGCATCTTGGTAAGGAGAATGACTAACAAGTATTTTATACATTCTGTAGTCATTTTAAATGAAATTTCTCTCTCCCTGCTGGGTTTTGTTGGTAAACATAACAAATGCTCATTATTTATATAGATCTATTTTATGTCATTCAACTCTGATGAAGTTATTGTTTTGATTAATTTTAGCTGACTCCTAAGGAATCTCTAAGTATACCACCACATCATCTGCAAAAAGCTATAAATTTCTTTTTTTTTCTTCTTCTTTTTTTTAGGCAATTGGGGTTAAGTGATTTGCCCAGGGTCACACAGCTAGTGTGTGTCAAGTGGCTGGTCTAAGGCCGCATTTGAACTCAGGTCCTCCTGACTTCAGGGCCGGTATTCTATCCACTGTGCCACCTAGCCACCCCAACTTTGTTTCTTCTCTACCTAGACTTATTCCCTAATTGCTGTTTTACGTTACTACTACAGCTAGCTTTTACAGCATTCTATCAAACCAGAGTGGCGACAGTGGACATCTATCCATGCAACATGTCCTCCGTTATCCAAGGAATATAATTGTCAGGTCTATGGTCACCTGGGTTGGGAAAGGAAAATAGTGGGGTCTTGAGGAAAATTCTGCTACCATTTTCCCAAGGCAGCTTCTCTTGACCTTTCCACTCATTCCTCCTGCACCTGAGAATAATTCAATAACAACATCAATACTACTATGTGCCAGGCACTGGGCTGAGCACTTTTCAAGTATTATTTCATTTGTTCCTCACAACAACACTGTGAAGATGCTATTTTTATTCCCATTTTACAGTTGAGGAAACTGAGGCAAACAGCGGTCAAGTGACTTGCCCAAGGTCACATAGCTAGTGAGAGTGAGACTGGATTTGAACTCAGGTCTTCTTGAGTCCAAGCCCAGCACTCTGTGCACTATGGCCCACCTCGCTGCCTCTTGATAGATGGGCACCTGGGAATACTTACTATGACTTGGACTCTTGTTTTATAAAGATTCCAGCAAGTCGCATGTCAGTGAGGAAAACTGGCTCTCTGTCAGCCTACCCCTTACCTTTTCTTCAGATAAATTTGGAAATCAGAGCATGTCACCAAACAGAGACATTGCAATGAAAAGATCACAGAACTTCAGGGTTGGAAAGAACTGCAGAGTTAATCCTTCCTAGGAAATCACAGGACAGTTACCACAGCCTTGAGCAATAACCATGAAGAATTTTTGTGCAAAAGAATGTGAAGTTGAGCTCTTTGAGGGAGGAAGAAGATTCTGTGCACACTGGGAGAAGTTACTCAATGCTCTGATAACAGCCCAGCAGAGTTCTGCAAACCTTCTTTGCAGGACAAGGAGCCCAGCCAAGGCTTGCCTTGGCCCCTGGAGGAGCTCCTACATGCAGGGATTAATGTCTCGGGCTGGGCCCTCCCTACTGTTTGCACGTGAGGAAGCTTCTTAGTGAACAAACCTGCCTCCCAATGAACCCCGTGCGAGCACAACAAATCTTTGATAATTGGAATTCTCTCTCCTCCTCCTCCTCCAACGTCTCTCTCTACTTGCCAAAATTCTTCCCTTCTTTCACACAATCTAACAGAGAGAGATGTCAGAAAACATCCACACCTGACCAGGAACCCAGTGTTAAGTATCAAATGTTCATCTATGTCAGGGATTCTTAATCTGGGGTCCATTACTTGTTTTTTTTTTTTTTTACACCTCTTCCTGAGTTCAAACCTGGCCTCAGACACTTACTAGCTGGGTGATCCTGGGCAAGTCACTTAACCCTGTTTGCCTCAGTTTCCTCATCTGTAAAATGAGCTAGAGAAGGAAATGGCAAACCCCTCCAGTATCTTTGCCAAGAAAACCCCAAATGGGGGAACAGCCAAACAGATTGTGGTATACAAATGTAAGGAAATATTATTATGCCCTAAGAAATGACTAAATAGAAAATTTCATGGGAAACTGGGAAGACCTCTGAACCAATGCAGAGTCAAGTGAGCAGAACTAGGAGAATAATTTGTACTGTAAAAGTAGCTAAGTAACATACAGCATTTGGTATGTGCCAGGCATCGTGCTAAGCACTTTTACAATTATTATCTCATCTGATCCACACAGTAAGCATGTGAGGTAGATGCTATTATTATCCTCATTTTACATATGAGGAAACTGAGGCAAAATGAGGTTAAATGACTTGCCCAGGGTCACCCAGCTAGTTAAGTGTTGAGGACTCAGGTTTTTCTGATTCCAGTTTGGTTGCTCTACCCACTGAACCCCTTATAGCTGCCCTACACAATTACAATATTACAGAGAAAAGTAACTTTGAAAGATTTTAGAATGTAATGAAAAATTCTGAGTCTAAAAGACTGGAGACAAAACATTTCACTAACCTGCCAAGAGAGTTTGGATTAACTCAAAACATAGAAAGAGACAGATGTTTTCAGATGTAGCAAATGTGGTGATTTATTTTGCTGGCTTAGTAGACACAGATCATGAGCTTTATTTTTCAGGGTTTTCTTAACTTGCTCAGTGGGGGGCGGTGTCTTTGGAGGATTATTAAAAGAAAAAAAGGATATCGGTGCTATGATACACCACATTTATTTTCAACATAATGTACTGCTGAGCAGGGTGTTGCTCTGAATGAAACTCAGGCACTGAACCACGGTGTCTCTTACAGAGGAATAGTGAAGATATACTTCATCATCTTGCTAGTAAAAATAAGTATTTCAGCGCCCTGCTCTAATAAGGTAGGACTATTGCTGATATTACTGTTATTGGAGAATATTGTTATTGGGGAGGAATTCTGTTATTGGGGAATGGGGAATATTTACCGAAAAAAGTAATTTAGAAACCAGTTTTATTGTCCCTGTTTTACAGATGGAGAAACTGAGGCTCAGAGGTTCAGTTGCTTTCTTGAGGTCACATAGCTATAGTTGTACTGTTAGAAGGAAACTATTCCAACCCCTTAGGGATCTGAAGTCCATGTGGCCAAGGTTACATACCCAACGGCAGGAGCAGGATTTGAACGCAAGTCCTCAGACCAGTGCAAATTAACTGCCATCTCCCTTTCCCCAGGCTGCCTCCTCTCATGTCTGTAAACCAGTCAGCTTCAAGACTCACTAAAACAAAGTCTCCTAATTCCAAGTACAAGGCTCTCTCTGTGCTCTCCCACTCTGCCCTAGCAGCCCTCCGTTTCCCCGACTGCAGACTTGCTCTACATGCAACATCAAGATCTGTCTCTCAGTCCTTATTTTAACAGAGTAACCTTTCCAAGAATGTTCCTTTTTCTCAGCTGCCAATTTCCAGGTCTAACTTCGAGCTGTTTCTCCTCAGACCTGGCTAGCCAAAAAGGCCAACTGCCGGTGTGGAAGACGGAGTAATCTTTTGGATATTTAGAAATTTCCTTAAAAAACTGCTCTGTGGATAGGGGGGATTGAGGTGTAAAAGGAAGGATAATACAGGGAGGGAGTAGCCACAAGCAAAACCCTGACCTAGATGATTAAAAGTGAGAGGGGGGAGGGAAGAGAAAGAACCAGGATCTAAGGAAATCTCCTAGACACCTGGAGAGTAGCTGAACAAACTCTGATATATTGCAGTAAGGGAAAATTACTGCACCGAGAGAAATAATGAAAGAAATGATTTCAGAGAATCTTGGGTAGTAATCTTTAGTGATGCCAAATTCTGGGCACTTAAAGAAAATGAACAGAAGGCAGTTCAGAAAGGAGCATAGACAAGGAGGGCAGTAATTGAAGATAAATTATAAGTTCATTATATAGTAGTAGCTGTTTTTAAACCAAGCAACATGAAGGGGAGATTTTCAGTTTCACGTGTAAATCCTCTTGTGTTCTGCTGTGTATATGAAAATGCTCCTTTCTGGTGTTTAAGTTTTTTTATTTTTATTTTTAAGAAAACCAATTTAGTAATGAAGTCATCTAGAAAATGCCCTTCTTTGGGGGTGTTTAAGTTTTTTAAAGTTTTTTTTTTTTAAAGAAATGAATCTGCTAATGAAGTCACCTATAAATGCCCTGTTTGGGGTGTTTACTTTTTTTTTTTAATTAAAGAAACCAAGCTAGTAATGAAGTCATCAAGGAATGGGAAAAACTGCCATTTCCCCAGCTAGCTACTTTATGGAACACAAAACAAAACTCAGCCTTCGCTCCTAGCACTTGGTTCATCAAACATGAATGTGTGTATGTGACTGACAGAATACTGGACTTGGGTTCTGATCACTGGCTTTCCAATTCAAACTTTGCCACTATAAAGCCGTGTGATCTTAATCAGGATACCCTCTGGCTCTGACCCTCAACTTCCTCACTGTGAAACGGGTAGTTGGGCAGGCAGACTAACCAGGTCACCTGAAGCTTATGCCTTCACAATGATCTGAACCTTTGGACCTAAGGGCAGGCGACAGGTATTGTTTGCCAGTCCTTTTGAAAAACCCTGTAAATTTTCTGTAAATTAAATTGAGGCCAAGGCTTCCAGAGAGACATCTGGCTCTGTCTAGGGGGGGTGCGAGGCTGCTTAAAAGTCTCTGTGGAACTTCGGTCTTTGGGCCACAAGATGGCGATGTTGTCAAATGAACCATGGATGGTGCGGGGCAAAGGCTGGGGAGGTCAGAGAAAGGTGGGTCAATGGTTTGGAGCTGGAAGGCACCTCCAAGGTGGTCTAGTTCAATTCCCTTATTTTATGGATGGGGAAACTGAAGCCCAGATGGGTTAAGTGACTTGTCCAGAGTGAGGCAGTGCTGGGGAGACATCTGAACACAGGTCTTCCTAACTCCGTGTGCACTACGGTGTATGCTCTGGCCACCACCATAATGGTGTGGTGAGCTCTTTCCCAATTAGAAGGTAAGCTCCTTGAGGGCAGGGACCTCCCTCTTTGTTCTTTGTCTCCCCAGTGCTTAGCACTCCGCCTAGCACGAGGTAAGTGCTTAATAAGTGTTTTTTCTTTCATTCAATTTTGCCCTGTCCTTGGGCTCTACTTTTTTCTATTTGTGTCCTTTCATTGTAAGTCTAAAACCATTTTTTTTAACCAGACCACAGCCCTAAATGAATATTTAATTATGCACATTCCTAAACCCATGGCTGGAATTGGGCAAAAAACTACACAATGGAGGAATGAATGCTGAGTAAATTCCTCAATTAGGGGCCCATTTACAATATTTACAGAGCCTTTAAATCAGCTCATATTCAGTGGCTAATAAGTATCTGTTAAATGAAAGGTCAGTGAATTGAACTGAGAAAAGTTCTTCGGCCTTTGTTGGTCTAATCTAAGATCTGTCAGTAAAAGCCTTGCATTTTGCCACATCTTGCATTTTTAAAAAAATTTTATTAATTTATTTTGATTTATCAACAATCACTTCTATATGCTTTTGAGTTGAAGGTTTTTCTCCCCCTTCCCCTCCACCCTCCCCAAGACGGCACACAATCTGATATAGGCTTTACATTTACATTTCCTATTAAATATATTTTCACATTAGTGAAGTTGTAAGTAAAAATTAAAACCAATAGGAGGAACCATCAGAAAGATGAAACAAAACTCAACAGAAGGTAAAAATAAGTGATAGCGATTCGACTTCCATAGTTCTTTCTTTGGATGTGGACAGCATTTTTTGCATTTATTTTGATGTGCTGGAATTAAGTCTACACCATAGAAACACAGACGACTAGAGCTAGAAGTCCAATCCTTATTTTACAGATGAGTAAACTGAGGCCATTGAGCTACTAAATGGAAGAGCTGGGACTCCAGTTTGGGTCCTGACTCAAAGCTTGGTTCTTTTCTCATCTGACTCTTATTGAAACTATAAATGATTATTCTTTTTTTTTTTTTTTACCGAAGTCCAAACTGAAATCTGATGCATGAATTGGCTAATTGTTTTCCTTGCCCTGAATGCCAACACTAGCCTCCTGCCCAGTCTTTTCGTCTATGTGATGCTGGCGGAAACTTATTGATCCAAGCAATGATGAATTTCATAGTTAATCAGTGAAAGGACAAAATCTGTGAAAACAAGAGCAATGTCTTTGAACCAGATGAGTACCAGATCTACCCTGACAGATTATTTCTTACAGAAAACATCTGGAGTAAAAGGCGGAAGCTACATTTGCACAGATCTCTCTGGGAAAAACGTGAACAGCCCACAACTGAACTTCAACAAGTCATTCTATGGAACCAAAGATGAGGAAACTGAGACAGATCAAGGTGAAGAAGGGGTTTGGCCAAGGTCCTGTCCACAGAAGAGGCAGAGCTGGGATCTGACAGAATACCCTCTAATGGTAAATCCAGCAAACCGGCCATAGCTCTAGGCTCACTTGCAAAGGTATTAAAGGTCACTTCAATAAATAGTGATTGACACCCTCTGATTTACCAGACATTGTGCTAAGGGATTGGGGCACACAAAAGTAATATGATGGTGCCCCTGTCCACAAGATGCTTCCAGTCTTTGTAATTCGAATGAGACAAGTGCAATGATCACAGTTCTCATTCTTCACATACATTAAGGTCCCCAAAACACCTTGTAAATGAAAATATCATTATCCCCATTTTATAGATGAAGAAACTGAGGCACTAAGCAGGCAAGCAACTTGCCAGGCAGCTAGATGGTTCAGTAGTTAGAGGTGATGAAGACCTGAGTTCAAATCTGCTCTCAGTCACTCCCAAGCTGGTTGCCACTAGGAAGGCCACTTAATCTGTCTTCTTCAACCATCTGGCCAGTAATATATGGATGGTAATAATAGTACTGACCTCGCAGGCTTCTAAGGATCAAATGAGGTGAGGTTGCTTTAAAGTACTTTGCAAACCTAAATGTAAGATTTTATTAATATTGTGTCTAAACTAGAATTGGAACTAAGGGATCAGCATTACAAGTCATTAGGCTTCCCCTTTCCTCGGCCCTCCCCCCAAACCCTCTCAAAAAAGCCTCGGAGGCCATGTATCCTGAGGGAGCTAACCCAACCATCTTTGGAAATTATGCCCTAGGGCTGTGCTATCCAGATTGGTGAGGAAACCCTGCCCCCTAAATCTAGGTGACCCCATATCACCATGGCTGTCTTCCCAGCACATAGTATTTTCATTTAAAAATTTCATTCATTCATTCATTCATTCATTCATTCATGGCAAGGAGAGATAAATGGCCTAACCAATACACAGTGTGGTGTACATCTGTCCCAAACTAAAGGAGCAGGCCTGGACAGCTTAATTTTCACCTGGAATCATCCAGCCTTAATCTGCCCCTTTCACTCCTGGCGTCTAACAGTGTTCTAAAGAAGGGATTTCTGGTTCAGTATCTCAATGTCATGGACCAGCTAACTGAAAAAGAGTATTTGATGGACAAAAATAGCCAGATATAGACTGTGACTCTTCACTGAAATCCCAGAGAAAGTCTATACTTGTGCACCAAAGCTCCACCTCCTTCCTGGGCTGGAGGCAGGCCCGTTTTCCTAATGGATGGACCCTTATCTCCCAAATCCTCCATGTCAGCTATGACAAAGGGTAGGCAAAGAAGGTTCAGGAGCTAGAGAGGTTGTTGCTGCCTGCCCAGCTGGAGCCACACCCCCTGAGTCCCCACCTCCAAACAGGCAGCAGCCACCTCTAAAAGTAGGTCACAGGCGGTTGGCTGCTCTTTGCTGCCAGAGGTGCCGCTGGAGTGGAGCGGGCGCCCTAAGAACCGACGCAGCACAGTGGAGGTGCAGCACAGTGGAGGTGCCGGGAGCTCCTTGGCCCACTTCCTCAAAGCAGGCTCATGGCCTGTGGAGTCCAAAATGAACAGGTCACCTCCTTTGCCTTGAGCTCTCAGAAGTGCTGGATGGCAAGCTCTTGACCTCCTCCTCTTGTGGCCACCAGAGAAAAGGCCTGTGCAGTATGAATTAGGGCACGAGTCGGTCATCCTTGGCAGAGATGCCACTGTCTGGCGCACAAGCCCAGCCAGCCCAGCTTCTCAGTCCTGGGCCGTTATTTGGCCATGATCTGTGCCATAATTTCCATCAACCAAATAGAAGGGCATAGAGGACCACTGTGGGGAAATTGGCCTGCCCTCTACTGCCCCAATCTATGCTCCACGAATATGAAAATATTAGGTACAGCTACGTGATATAATAGACAGAATGAGGGCCTGAGTTCAAATCCTGCCTTAGGCACTGACTAGCTGTATGACTGTGTAAGTCACTTTACTTCTCTGTATGCCTCAGTTTCCTCATCTGTAAAATGGGGATGATAATAATAATAATAATAATAATAATAGCAGCATCCATTTCCCAGGGTTATTGTGAGGATCAAATGACCCAATCAGGTAAAACACTTTGCACAAACTCAATATGCTATAAAATTACCAGTTGTTATTATTACAGTTATTGAATATCACATATATATACATATATATACATATATATATACACACACACACACACACACACCCCTATGAATCTCTAGTTCTAACATGATCCACCCCAGTACGACCGTGAGTCCTTCAGCCTTTCAGCCTCTTACAGTGGGGCCCTTCCATGTCCCTCTGTAGCCTGAGCTGAACTCATCATAAATCAAGTATTCATGAGCACTTCCAGGCAGCAGTGCCTCAGCAGCTGCTAGGAGGACAGACACAAAACTGAGGCAGTCCGCAGCCTGAAGGGGCTTAAACTCTTGCAGGGCTGGGGGCATGGCTGGATAAGCATTTATATAGAACCCACTGTGTGCCAGGAGGCAGCTAGATGGCTCAGTGGGTGGAACACCAGGCCTGGAGTCAGGAAGATCTGAGTTCCAATTCGGCAAGTCTACCCTCTGCCTTAATCTACTGCAGAAGGAAATGGCGACCATTCCAGTTTCTTTGCCAAGAAAACCCCGAGGTGGCACAGTGGATAAAGCACCAGCCCTGATGTCAGGAGGATCTGAATTCAAATCCGGCCTCAGACCAAACACTTGACGCTTACTAGCTGTGTGACCCTGGGTACGTCACTTAACCCCAATTGCCTAAAATTTAAAAAAAGAAAGAAAGAAAGAAAGAAAACCTTATGAACAGCATTGATGTGGCATGGTCCACAGGTCTGACCAATGGTTGGACTAGACTACGTGACTGAACAAAAACAATGAACTAGCACCAAAAAAAAGAAAAGAAGCATAAGTGCTTTTTTACAAATATCATCCCATTTGATCCTCACAATTATCATCCCCACTTTGCGGCTGAGGAAATTGAGGCAAACAGACTACCCCAAAGTCCCACTGTGCCACCAGCTTCCTCTAGTAGGAGGACAAGAGTGTGTATGTGTGTGTGTGTGTGTGTGTGTGTGAGAGAGAGAGAGAGAGAGAGAGAAGTAGAGGATAGGTACAAACTAACTACACAAGGTTTGGAGGGTCCCAGCTACTGGGCTGAAGTCTCACTGCCAAGGCATCCACTATTCATGACCACACGGACCCTGGCCAGAGTCTAGAGTTTCACCAGTATACAAATGTGTGCCTGTGTTTGGGGGAGGAGTGAGTGGAAGGGTCACCACGTGGCAACAAGTTGGTTTGTCCCACAGTAATTTAAGTTTTCCCTGAATTCAGAATTTGTAAATCAACCAAATCCTTAAGCCTGAGGACTTTCATGTTATTGTTCCAAGAGGTTTTGCCTCAAGCTGGGAAAACCCACTGGGAGAAGGGTCATCTTTCAGCCTGAGGAGCCAATACTCATCCATAATGGAACAGTGACCCAAAGAGCAGGATTCTTGAAGAAGGCCTCTCAGTCAAGGGTGCTAATGCTATTTGTTGGGCCTTGGTTTGCCTGAGAAGTGGAGCTGGAGCTACAGGCTGCCAAGAAAGAGCCCCATGGGGCACACAGCGAGAGCACGTGAAGCAGCAGATTGAGAAAGGCCCCAGAGAGACTGTGGCTAATTGTCACAAGGGAACTTAAGCGGATTGAAGCTCTGTCCTTCAAATTCCTTCCCTCTCCACAAAAACTCCGAAACCAAGTTAACAGGAAGCATTTCTTAGAAATCAGAAGTCCCTCCCTTCTTTCCTTTCGGAAAGCCTATTCCTCATAATAGCGCAACCCCTGGCCCCAGGTGGTGAGAAGAGACAAAAAAGAGCAGGCACCCATTTCTAGCAGGAAAACTTGGCTAGGTCTCTGATCTGAAAGGACTGGCTGCTCTTTGAATAGGTCACCTTGTATGCACACAAACTCCTGGATGCTCCTGCTGAGTGGCCCACAGGCCCAGCTCTGAGGAGTTCCAGGGCCTTAGGAAGTGTGGTCTAGATCTCATCAACTAGTCACCATTGGCTATCCCAAATGATAGGGATCCCTGACCATGGTCCTCATGAGATCTGCAATCATGCAAATTCTCCAAATCACATTGGGATTCTAATGACCAGTCATATTACATTAAAGCATCTAGGGACCATTTTCCTTCACACTGCCCCGCCAGCCAGGTCTCTGCATCACAAAAATGGCATTAGGTAACCTGTCACAGCCCTGTATGCTCCTTTACTGAAACAATTCCACGAGTGAGGCCAAGTGAGGAGGAATCTAGGGCTCACAGCAGGGGCCTGGCTGGTTTGGGGTCACCCAGTTCCCCCTAGTCAGGACTGAGAGCCCAATCCAAAGCTCTTTAGGGCAAGAAGCTCTGCACTTTGTTTTTATCAAGAATAGAGGAAGGTCTCAGAAAATGCAAGCCCTGGCTTTCAGATGAGAACTGAGCCCTTTGTAAAGCTAATCAGCATTTATTTCCTCTGTGGCCCTTATACAGTCACACACACCACATAAAACCTTCTACTATTAAGGCGAAAATACCTGCAACCTGGTCATCCTGGCAGAGAAGGAGCCTCCTACATTCAACTGTGGAGTTTGCTTTCACACCGAGGGACAACCTGAGGAGCCTCTCCCTTCCCCCAAAGTCAGCTCCCCATGGGTATCACCTCCTCTCCTCTCCCCTCCCCCATAGTCTAGCTCTCCTATGGAGTCACCTCCTTTCTGCTCCTTCCTAGTCTAGTACCATGGAATCACCTCCTCTCTCTCTCATTTACCTCCTCTGCCCTCCCTACTCTCCTATGAGCCTAGATCCTGGCAGTGCCCCAGGCTTCCTTTCCTATCTGCTTATTCCCGACTGAAGGATCTCAGAGTTGGACTGGGCCTTGGAGTCCAGCCTATGGCTGAAATGAAAACTCCAAGGGTTCCCATGCTTATTGATTTAGAGAATGATTAAATTTAAAGAGTTCGTTCAGCACCAACTCTGTCTCTGCCCTCAAGGACCTTACAGTCTATCAGCGAAAAGACAACATGCACATAACAAGACATACTGGAGACAGTCTCAGAGGGAAGGCGGTAGCATTAAGGGGGATGGGGGAAGGCTTTGTGCAGGATGCAGCATCTGCATGGGTTTTAAAGGATGAGAGGAATTTCAGAGATGGGAGAAAGGACAGAGGAAAAGGCATTCCAGGCACAGGAAACCAAGGAAGAAGTGGAAATACATGTATAGGGAACAGGCCAGCTGGGTTGCCTAGGTAGTGCTCAGAGAGGAACGGGATGAAACAGGAGGTGAAAGGTGGCCTAGGGCCAGAAGCAGGCCTTGAATGACAGACAAGGCTGGGCATTTTCCCCCAGTAAAATGAATCCCTTGATTTTGTCAAAGATGAAGGGAAATTGATAGCTTTTTTAGGTGAGCAGAGGGAGATAGGCTTTAAAAAATTAATGGATAAATCATTTGTGATTGTGGGATTAATAAAAAATAACTTTTTTAACCTGTGAAATCTATTCCATGTTGTATGCCACCAGATTTTCACTTTTGTTCCCCAAAACGAGATCAAGATGCTTTTTTGAATTCACTGATAGGTAGTGAACGGATTAAATAAGCGCTTCCATTGATATCTGGCTCTGCCATGCACTGCTCATGTGACCTCCTGGTCCATAAACTGAAGGCCTTGGGCTGGGTGACTTCTGAGGTGCCTCTCCACTGAAGAGATGATCCCATCCTTGACCAGAGGCATAGGGTGGTGGAGGGAAGCACTGAACTGGGGGATCAGCAGGGGACTCAAAGACCTGGCTTAGTGACTTCCTGCCGTGGTTCCATTTCCTCATCAGTCAGAATGTTCTTTAAGAACCCTACTAAGTCTAAGTCCCATGATGATGCTAGACAAAGGACTTTAAGCTTCCTTTGGAAGACAAAAGGGCCTGAGAAAAAGGTCCATGAAGCGGCCCAATCTAACCAGCTCTATTCCTAAGGACAAGTCTGGGAGCAGCAGGAAGAAGGGACTGAAGGAGGGCAAGTCTGCAGGAAGGCCTGGATGAAGGTGGCGGCAGAAGAAATAGGAAGAGAGGAGGCCAGAGATGTTTCAGAGCTAACAGCCACAGGACTTGGGAAGTCACTGGCTACGAAAGGAAATGTAACACTCAAAGTGAAAGTGGCAGTTTCTCACCCTAGGTCCATTGGGCTTCCTGGCTCAGTAGCCCAGCCTACTGAATGTCTAGCCAGACTCCAGCTTTCAGGGTCTTTCTCTAACATTCCCAGAAGCTCAGTTGTAAGCGTTTTTCTTTAGAACTACTTCCCAACCACGTTTTGCCTTTCCTTCACCTATACTTACACAAATGAGACAGCAACATACTCCCAAAAAGATGTCTCGGGAAGTTTATTCAAATTTTCCTCAAAAGCAAGGTCATTGGGGTATGTTCTAGGGATCCCCACCTTTTGAAATGAGAAAGCAATGAAAATCCTCTATACCAAGAAAAAGAAATTCACCAAACAACAAGCATCTATTATGCACCTACACAGCCAGGCACTCTGCTAAAAAAACTAACAAAAAACAGATATAAAGGTACCCTAAAATGACCTATTTTTCCCTTTATTTCCCTTTATTAAACTAAGAATAAGAACAACGATAATAGTAGCTAGCAAAGAGCTTTCCAAATGTGTCTCTTTTTTCAAAAGGTCCCTCCTGATCTGGTCATTTTTTTAAAGCCTTAGCCCACAGGGCACATGGTAAATGCTTAATGTTTGTTCCTTTCCCCTTCTCTCAAACGACTTTTAAGGCATTTTCCTTTAAAGAAGTTTATACAAATGAAAAACAAATATTTCTCATGAACTTTAATTTGTAACCACGTGCTAGACTAAGGGAGGACAATATAGGCAGTACACCTGCCAGCCATTATTTTCCTCAGCAGTATTTTCTGAAACCTATAATCAAAGGGTAATTGTAAATTCCCTTGGGACTTTCCTTCTCAAAGTCTAGTTGGGGGTGAGAGGCTCTAACCCTCCTTTGAAGACAGGATGGGTGGTCTTTTGCGGAATCACAATTTCTAATGTGACAATACCAATACTTTGGTGTGTTTCTAGCCTTATCGTTAATAAAAACTCAATTTCAACAAGTATTTCTTAACTGCTGATGGTGGTGTTTTCAAGAGACTGTCCCTACTCTCCAAGTTGCTTGGGATAGATTCTCCTTGGGGAGACATGAAAAAATCATGGCACCATTCACTCTTGTATCACCTGCTTCAAAGTTTGTTCGAGTGAAATGTAGATGAAAGTGCTCAGGCAAACAAAGAAAATGGAAATTAAACAAAGGAACCCAAAGGCTGCCACAGGGAAGAGTGAATGAAGTTAAGCAAGGTCGTAGTAGGCATCTTTTGCCTGCCACAGATGCCCGACCAACAGGGCCTGCAGTCAAGAGGGTACAAACAAAGGCTCAGGGCAAGCTTATTTTTCTTAAGAAAATCCCAAGACCTAAATGTAGTCTTTATGTTCTAAGTTAGCTGGATGAATGTAGAAATGTGACTGTTACTCAAATTTGGGTCAGCATGACAGTTGATTAAAGTTGAGAACTACACTCTATATGCACACATTCATTTTAGTCGACATTTCAGTTAGTTCAGTATTTTAAAATGGGAAGAAAACAAGAGACACCTAAAAAGGGCCTCTGGAGTGTTTTTTAACTCCTTGGCCTTTCCAAACAGCCACTGGGCCTACCCCATGAAGAACTTACCTATCTTGAATTCAGAGGGTTAACAGCAAGCTTTATACACCTTTGGTATAAAAATCTTGCAATTATCTCCTTGCTCCTTTTGACTTTTTGATCTTAGCTTTTGCTTCTGATGATAATTACCCCTTAATTAGCACCCACCACTGTATCATCTAAGTAATTATAGTAAGTGGAGCCTCCACCCCAACAAGGAGTCTTCAAAGAAAATTATAAAATAAGGTCCCACATTGACTTTTTAAAGCAAAACTGCTTCAAATAAAACACTTCTGCAGAGACTACACCCTGAAGAACAGAGTTCAGACCCAACTTCCATTCAAGCCAGGTGCAATAAAGTTGGCTTTGAAAAAAGAAAAAAAAAGATATTGTGCATAAAAGTTGAAGGATACAGGTCCAAAGTTAGGATACAGGTTATCTATACTTACACTAATGTATTTGACTGTGGAGCTTTAATCATTCTACTGGTAAGCTGCACCAATGCCTTGAATTGGAACTGTTTTCTGTGGACTTATAGATAGAGCTTCACTAATATACTAGCTACATATTGTTTAAATTATTCTGTATGATTTAGAATCAAGTCACTTTTAAGTGTTTCATAAACAGTCTATTCATAGCTTTAGGCATATGAATGGAAGGATTTTAGGAAAAATGGTAACTAAAAGCTTATTAATTTCCCAAGTAATTACCTAAAGCTCCATTAATTTCCTCTCTTCCCCAAGAATAAGACCACATGTAGATACAGAAATCATGAATATGGTTTTATTTTAATATCTTTATTAAACTTTAAGTGGGAAGAGAAATGATATAGTGATAATTTTTAAAAATCCCACATATACACTGTCAAAGTTGCTAGATGGAAAAATGCAATCTCATAGATGACATTCAGCTCCATTCCCTTATGTTTCAAATGAGCAAACTGAGGCCCAAATTACTAAAGACATGTACTTGTACCTCAAGGTCACCCAAATAGCTACAGGCAAAGGCAGAATTAGAAACCAGGTCTCCTTATGCAATTCGACAGTAACATACAATTGGGTCAAGTAAATCTGGTTTTCCATTGATGAGGTTTTTGAAGGTTTAGTACACAAAAAACTAGGGAACATATAATCAATGTGTATCCACAATGAGTTCGTAGCATCGAGAGTGGGGGGGGGGGAGAGAGAGAGAGAGAGAGAGAGAGAGAGAGAGAGAGAGAGAGAGAGAGAGAGGAGAGAGAAGGAGGAGAGAGAGGGGGGAGAGGAGAGAGGAGAGAGAGAGAGAGAGAGGAGAGAGAGGAGAGAGGAGAGAGGAGAGGAGAGAGAGAGAGGAGGAGAGGGAGAGGGAGAGGGAGAGGGAGGGGGGAGAGGGAGAGAGAGGGAGGGAGAGAGGGAGAGGGAGAGAGGGAGAGAGAGGAGGGGGAGAGAGAGAGAGAGAGAGAAGAGAGAGAGAGAGAGAGAGAGAGAGAGAGAGAGAGAGAGAGAGACAGAGAGAGACAGAGAGAGAGAGACAGAGACAGAGACAGAAGAAAACAGATCTAGTTACCTGATCCCCTACGGATCTGTGACATCAGTTGCTGGAAGCTGTCAATTTCCAGGATGACTCATTTGGAGCACTGAAGCAGTGAGGAATGTTGGATAATAAGGATTTTCTGATCCTTTAAAATTAAAATAAAAAAGAAAAAGGTGCTTGGCTGCTTTCCTCCTTAAAGGGTATTTTAAAAATGTTTTCGAGATATCTTCATGAACGCTGCATTTTGTCGCAGATTATGTGGGTCAAAAGAGAGGCAGGGAGAGAGAGAGACAGAAATAGGGGAGACAGAAAGAAGACACAGACACATAGAAACAGTAGAGTACGGGGTGGGCAGCCCCCGTCTCTCTCCAGCACCACGTGCACCCAGCATCCCAGGGCACACTACCCTCTTTAAGTAGCCCATGGGAGCCCGGACTGACCATACCGGCAGGTGGGCACACTCTGCTCCCCTACTCGGGGCCGGGGCTGGGGCTGGGGCAGAAGTCGGTGCATCCCAGTCGGAGCTCGCGGGCGCCTCCGGGCTCCTGGGCTGCGGAAAGTCCCTGGAGAGTAAGCCATGGACACTGAGGCGTCCGCCACGGCCCCAGCCTTTGCACTTTCTCCCCCGGCCGGAAGCTTCCGAAGGCGCTGGCAGCAGCAGCCCGAGTCCCGGCCCCCCATGGCCCCCCTCCGCCGAGCCCTGGCCCTTCCTCCTACTCTCTCTTCTTCCGAACACCGCGGTTCGCCCCCGCCTCCGCCCTCGCCTCGAGAGTCCAGTCGGGAACTACATTTCCCGTCGGCCCTCGCGGCAGAGACCATGGCGGGCCCCGGCGCGTGTGGCGCCCTGCGCCTGCGCGACGGTTGGTCCGAACGACGCTACGATTGGCTGCGGCGGCCGAGGCCGCGCTGGGCCTGTGGGAAGCGCCGTGACGGAGCTGGCGGCTGGGGGAGGAAGGGGGGCGGCCGGCCGGGGAGCGCAAATGGCGTTGAGATGGTTCAGGGCCCTGCTCAAACTCCTGCCCTGACCACTCACCGGGCGAGGAGGCGGCGCAGGCGGGGGCGACGGCGGCGACGACGGCGGCCCAGCACGAGGAGCTAGTCAGCGCCTGCGGCGCGGACTGGGCGGCCTAGGCCCGAGCCGGCGGCGGCAGCGGCAGCGGCAGCGGGGGAAGTTGCGGGGCAGCCGCCGCCGGCGCTTCCCCCTTCCCCCTCTCCCGCTCCTCCCTTCCCCGCGGGCTCCTTTTGCTTCGGAGCGGACGCCGGTGGCGGCCGGGGCAGCGGCAGCGGAACTCTTCTTTTTCTTCCCCCCCCCCTCCCCCGGCTCCTTCTTTCTCGCGCGCCAATCGTCCGGCCCCCCCCTCCCCACCCTCCCTCGGCCCGCGCGCGCGGGGCCCCAGCGGCCGCCCGGCTCGCGCCGCCCGGGGGCCGCCGGGAAGGCGAGGCGGCGGCGGCCGGAGCTCGGAGTCTCCACCCCGCCCGCTCGGCGCCCAGGGTAAGTGAGGTTCCGTGGCGGCCGCTAGGCCCCGCCCGAGACGGGGACCCGGGAGGGGGCTCGGGGTGCCCGGTGCGGGGCGGCCCGGAGGAAGTTGGGGGGACGGGCGGGCGGAAAGAAGTGTCTCGATCCTCGCCCCCCCTCCCCCCCCGGCCTTTCCGGGCGGCCGCCAAGTCCGGGGCGCCTCCCTTCCCCCTTCCTGTGCTTCTCGGTCAAGTGCACGGCGGGCGCCGGACACGCACCCGCTTCTGCCCCGGAGAATTTGGCTGGGGACGGGGGGGGGGGAAGGCGACTTTTCTTGGGGCGCCGTCGGAGCCTCGGGAGCGTTTAGTTAGTCTAGTCCGCGACCCTTCGGGAAGCCAAGCCCGGGGAGGGGACGATGGGAGAAAAGTGTGTGCACTGGGACCCCGGGCTCGCGGCGAGCCCTCCGAGAGGTCCGGGGGGTGGGGCGGGCGGGGGAGAAGTGGGTGTGGAAGGAAAAGACCCCAGAGATCGGGATCACCGAGTCCTCCTTTCTCTCTGGCCCAGACAGGTTGATTGGAGGAGTTGCAAATGTCTCTGAAGGCCCCAGTGAAAAGTTGAGACCCACGCTCCTATGCACATGTAAGTGAGACCGTGACTGTAAGTTGTCCGCCCACCCCCTGGGGTCCCCTGCAGGCTGGGGTGGTGGTGCCTCTTGTGTCGGGGCGTCCCTGAAGCTTTCTGTGAGCTTTTCCAGTTTAGACCTGAAAAGGCTTGACTCGAGATTGAGATTTTCCACTGGTCTCTTGCTTTTGGCAGACTCTCAGGTGTTAACTTTTTAGGTCACGGAGTAAGAAGGGCCCTGAGAAGTTGTTTAGTCCAGTCTCTTCATTAGAAAGAGGAGAAACTGAGACCCATAGAAGTTAACTGATTTGCTTAAAGCCACCCAAGTAGTAAGTAGAAGATTCAAACCCAAATCCAAGGAATTCCCAGTCCAACACTCTTTCCCACTGTGCCATATTGACAAATATCCCAAGTGTTTATGTATCCTACACTAATAAAAGGACACAGGGATTCATTGAAGTTTTTCTGGGGAAATGACCAAGTTCTTTTGTTTACAGGCAAGTTAGTTAAATAAAGCGTTTTGTTTCTATAACATTTAAGAAAGAAAAACACAAAATTCACCGATAAAATCTGTGGTGCAAGGGGATACAGATATCTCTTGTTCCTACTCCCAAGGTTATAGGAAATGTTCCGAGTTTATCATTGAATTTCATATCTCATAAGGAAAAAAACTCCCAAAAGATCAGTTGGACAGTGATTCCTCATAAATGTTAGTACATCCAAGAAAAAAACCCCACAATATTTGGTTTCAGTGAAACATAGGGCAAATTCTGATACAGAAAACCATTGTTGTGATATTTCAAAATGAGGCAAATCTTTCTGTGTGTAGCTTATAGCCCATTTCTTTCAAGCTCATTAATTCCAGTACAGTGAAGCTGTAGGCCCCTCTAAGAGTTTATTATAAATTCAGTGATTTCAGTAATGTGAATTTAAAAAGGTTTAGTAACAGTTAAATGGAAGGAGGTGGTTAGTGAAAGAATATATGCATGTCATGTGCGGTATGAAAGAAAAATGGTTGCTCTCTCCACCCCCCACCCCACCTCCCCATTTGGGTGAGTCCCTCCTCACCCTTTTGCTTTGTACATTTTCATTTTGGGTACACATTGTTCCTCTCTGGTCCCTTCCTCTCTTCTTCCTTGTACACCCCCCCTCCCCCCCCATTGAATGTAAGCTCCTTGAGGGTAGAAACCTTTCCTAGTATTCCTTAGCTAGTACCTTGAAGTAGCTGGCACTTACGTTGTTGCATGGTATTAATCTTTTAGTTAATGTAACCTATCCCTTTCTGGAGACTTTACATAGAAATACAAGTTTCTCTAAACATGTCTTTTCTTCTCTCTTGAATACATATCTATTGTGTAAATAAATCAGAATGAATCTTTGAAGTTGACAGATAGAAATAAAAAGAAAATGAAGTTGTATATGTCTATGGTTTAGCTGCCCATGGAACTAATGTTAAAGAACCCGACTTAAACTAGTTTATCAAATACAAAAGCAGTAACTTTAAAGTCAGACTAAGTTAGTATAGACCCAATTCTTTTTCTTTTTCCTTTTTATTTTTTGGCTAGGCAGTTGGGGTTAAGTGACTTGCCCAGAGTCATGAGCTAGTGTTGTGTCTGAGGCTGGATTTGAATTGAGGTCGTCCTGATTCCAGGGCTGGTGCTCTATCCACTTCGCCACCTAGCTGACCCCTAGACCCAACATTTTTGAAGTTAACATAGAAGTATACATTAGATTCAGTGTGGTGCCATCTTTTCTTTTTTTTAATCTAAAAAACCAAAAGCTTAGGAATCTAGAAACACAGTGCAACCCAACATTAACTTGTCTGATAGGTAAATACTACTTAATTACATTTTGTTTGTTTTTCATGGCTTAATATGGTACAGTGTAAGAATTGAAATATTCACACTACAACTGTTTTCAAAAGATGAGTATCTAAATTTTAAACTTTTTAATCATTACATTTAACATTTTGAAGTGCTGTATAAATGAGTACAGTACATTGACTATTGGTTCAATTTGGAGCCTTAATGAGTTGTATTATTGTTTGGCAGCTTATTAATTTTATGTGTGGTATTTAAAAATTTTAATTACAATAGTGGTTATTTTCTTGATTTTCCACAGAGAATATGAAACAGGTGTCAAAATGACATCCAGATTTGGGAAAACATATAGCAGGAAAGGGGGAAATGGCAGCTCTAAATTTGATGAAGTATTTTCCAACAAACGGACCACCCTTAGTACAAAGTGGGGAGAGACCACCTTTATGGCTAAACTAGGCCAGAAGAGGCCTAATTTAAATCCAGATATCCCAGAAATTCCTAAGAAGCCTAAAGTAGAAGATGAAAATTCAGAAGATCCTTTTGGATTTGATAGTGATGAAGAGTCTTTACCAGTTTCTTCAAAGAATGTGGCCCAGGCTAAGAGTTCCTCCCAGTTGGAGCCTGGTGAAGCTGCTCATCTGGGTGACTTCACCTCTGTACTTGAAGCTAACAGCTGTATTAGTCAACCAATCACCGAAGACATTATCGTGTCGAGCAAGTGTTTACCTTGTGAGAGTACTTTCCTTGGTTTAAAAGAAAAGAGCACAAACCGAGCCTTAGAAGACGGTGAAAACAAAAGTAGTGCAAAACTAATAACTAAAGGTGAGTCTTTATTTCATACATGGAAACCCATTTGTTATAGTTGTCATAGACAGCTCCTTTTAAGTATGCATGCCCTTTACTTTTATGTAACTTAGAATATAAACCTTCCTTAGTCAAAATTTTTAGCTTTGAAAAATGGGGGATAGATAAGATCATAATAACTCTCAATTTTGTAAATAAATTTCAGAATTTTGAGAAAAACAGTTGGTTTTTTAAAAAGTTTATTTTTGTAAACTAGATAATACTCTGCTATAGAATAGCATTTTGTGTATGCTCCAGATACCTTCTTCCTTTTGGATATCCATAAATTGGATAATGTGGACTAGGTTATTCGTAATTATAAAATACCTTATTTGTTAAACTTAGTATTTGGTGGGGTTATGTGGTTATTGGTAGTGACACAATAACATGAATATTTAAATTATAGAATTAGCCTAAGTTTAAAATATTTAAATAACCTAAAGTCTCGGTTCCAGGAAACAAGTATTAGTCATAATTAATGTTTTCAGTTTTCTTGAGTATAATAAATTAATATTTTACCTTAATTCTTGATGAGATTTGATGTGGGGCTGAGATTAATGTTAAGGCCGGCAGTGCCCAGTTTATGAAAGAATGTATTCTCAAAGTTCATTTTCTGTTTTGTTTTGGAACTTGTTTTGGAACTTGAAAGCTGTTTCCTCCTAGGGTCAATGTTGTTATCAGTGGCAGTTTGGTTTCTAGGTCAGCTAGAATGTAAATGGAATTTTATAGCTGGAAAGGACCTAAAGGTTCATCTCATCAGCCCCACTGCCCCTACCTCTTGCCCTCTTCTACAGAAGAAACTGAAGTACAGAGAGGTTTGTGATTCACAGTTGAGTATTTTTGAGTTAATCCATAATGTAGCTGAAATAGTACTAATAGTTACCCTGAGCCTTGTGTGTGGGAGTGAAATACTGGAGACTGGGTACAGGTTGCAGTGGTTTGGCAACTGCCATAGTGGCTTACAGAGAGAATGAGAATATAGCAAGGAGACGAGGAGGGGGCTCCAGTGACTTCCACAGCAAGGGGCAGAGAGAAACAAGAAAGAAGAAAAGGGTGTTCATTAGGTATGGACTGTGTGCAGAGCAGTGCTATGTGCCAGAAGAGATGCAGAATTTGGAGAGGGATATGTGTGACATATACACAGATACATAATAATGATAAGTGAATAAGGGATATGTAAACAAAAATACCCAGTGAGGTATGATCATCAATAATGATTAGGTTTCCAAGCCAGTCTAATTAATTTAGAAAACTTAAGTCCTTGCCTGCAAACATACGCAGATCTCACCCTTAACCTTTATTTGACCTGGCTATCTCCTTAAGCTTTCATCCTTTCCTTCTTCCTTTTGATCCTAAAAGGAATGATCTATTCTTGCTGCCTCTGCTTCTTGTCTCCCACTCAGCCTTTTACAGATTAACTTTTCCTGAGGTTTCGTAGGATCTCTTTGAGTTGCCAGAATTTGTTGGTCTTTTCTTTATCTGAATCCGCCTTGGTTGGGCAGCTTTTGCCCATTGACTTTGAATCTTCTCTCTCCTTGATATTCTCAACCATCTTGGCATTTGAGACACGACTCTTTTCTGCCTCCTTTGCTGGGTAGTCTTCCTTTGTTCCCCAAGGCTTTCTCCTGGTCCTTTTCCTTCTACATGCTCTTCCTTGGTGATCTGATCTTTTATGTGTTCAATTATCATCTCCAAACATCATCCCAAACATGTACATCCAGCCGAATTTCTGGAACTCTCGCTCCACTTGGCCAGCTGGCTCCTAGAATCTCCATTTGGGTGGCCATTTGGCAGTTTAAAGACAACTTGTCCAAAATAGCTCATTATGTGCCCCCTTTCTCTGCTAACACTCTTGGTTCCAAATTTCCCTAGACTTCTTTAGGGTACCACTGTCTTCCCAGTAACCCAAGTTTGAAATCTTTTGCTGTGACCTCTCCCTCGTCCTCTGTATTTACCTAATTGCCAGGTCTCTTCTTCCTATTCTATCTCAGTCCTGTCTTTCTGTTTACACTGCCATCCCCACAAGTTCAGGCCCTCCCTCACTTACCTCTTGTCTGGCCTATTGTAACAATCTTTTACCTGTCTGGTCTACTTCTGGTCTCTCTTCTCTGAAATCATCCTCCACACACAAAGTAATTGTCACTTCCCTACTTGGAAACCTTCTGTGATTGCTGACTTTATCTCCAGGATAAACTAGCAACTGCTCAGCCTGCTTTTAAAGCATTACAGGGTCTGGCCTCCCTTTCATCCAATCTGTGTTATGTTTGTTCCCTGAACATTTTGTTCCCCATCTCTGCCTTTGAACAGGCTGTCCCTACTTTGTCGGTTCTGAGGTTCACTGCTGGAGCTCCTTCCCTCCTTCAGGTTGTTAGTGTTGTCTCCAACCTGTAATTCGCTTGTACTTACCTTGTTATCATTCAGTAGAACATAAGCTCCATGTGGGCAGAGGTTCTTTTTGTCTTATTTGCAGTGCCTGGTGCAGTGCTTTGTATATAGTAGAAGCTTAAAAACATTTATCGAACTGATAAATTTCTTTCATTTTAGCTGGTTGATGACCTAACAAGGAGGACGTTTGAGAACTACAGGTCATTGCCATGCCATAGGGAGACATCAGAGTAAGTCTTCAGGGAATTAGAAATTTGCTTGCAATGACTGGGAACAGCTGGGGCAGTAACAAGTTCTTTGAATTGCAGATCAATTATAACACTTCTCTATAGGGTTTTCTCCATTCAGACCAATCAAATCATTGGAAAAAGCTCATTCAGACTTATGACTGGTGACTACTGCCCCCACTGGGAAAGTATTTTACTGAATTCAAATTCACTCCTTTATAAAGGAGTGTATGGTTTGGAACTTAAGGTCAGTTAGTCAGTAAGCATTTATTATGTGTCAGTCTCTGTCAGGTATTTCAAGTTAAAGACCTCTGTGTACGTATAAAGGAGAAGAGGTAACACGTTTATTGGAGGAATTGGGCAAATACAGAGACAGGAGTTAATTTTTGGACTAAATTTAAAATGTTTTAGATACTTATTTAATAGTAATTAATTGGATAACATGAACAATTTCACTGTCTTCTCTTCTTCCTCCATTTTACTTATAAGAAAACTAAGGTTCAGTGACTTACCCAAGGTTATGCTGCTTATGTCCGTTCCCCCCCCCCCCCCCCCCCCCCCCCCCCCGTGGTGGAACTCTGACTCTTGGTCTGATGCTCTTTGTATTTCACGAGGCTGCCTGCCTTTTCTTTCAGTTGGCCAAATTTAAAGTAGATCAAGAAATCAAGACTATACACTGTGGAAGGGAGGGATTTTTCCATTGAATACATTTTGCCAAAAGTAGTAACCAAAAATTAATTTGTTAGCATTTTTACGTTGCTAAACTGAGTTGATATTTGTCATTTAAATGGTTTCACAGTAAGTAAACAGTTTGTCTTGCTTCCAAATAAGGGGTTTATCCTGATAGTCAAAATTAACCTTGTACAACTTGAATAAGAGACTAATAATGCATTTATTCTAGATCCATTAAAGTCTTAAATAATTTTAATAGAAATACTAACCATTTTAACAGGTCCTTTTAAAGTCAGCTTTAATAATGTTTCTATTTTGTTTGACAATGAAATGAAAGTAATGTAAGGTATAAATGTAACAGTGGAAAGGTAAATAATGTAAATAGATTTCACCCTGCTGTAAACTAGATAATTTGTTTCATGTGAAAGTTTTTCTGAAGTAAAGAAAAATCACTCATGGAGTTGTGCAACAAAATACATGGAAGGGATCATAAATCAACAGCAACTAAATGCCTAGAACTTACCCATAACTGTGGGAGATACCAAAGAACTGGCAAGCAGTTCTGTACTCCTGAGGAGTTGCCTTGCATTTCTTTGCCTATACTGTTGAGTAAGTGCTTTTAAAAAAATCAAACTGCTTCCCCAGAAGTTAAATCTTGTTGAATTTTGAGGTATATTTTGCTTTAAGACTGATTTTGAGGGTATTGATTTAAGGTGACTAATTCTTAAAAATACTACCACTTCAAAAAAAAAGAAAAAACAAAAATACTACCTCTGTACATTTACATATGCTTTTATATTTTTCAGTGTGCTTTTACATGTTGTCTTTGAGCTGTTGTGAAGTTCTGTAACCCTCTGAAATAAAATGTAGTTTGCTAGCTATCATGTGGGGGAATTACCAAGTAGGCAGAAGGTTTTGGAAATAATTAGCCCCAAGGTTCTAATTAGAATGTTGGTATGGTGGAACCTTCACAGATCCCCACTGCACCCCTGTTATTTAGAACCACAGCTATTTTCCCTTTCTCTCCTAGTATTCTCATATGTACCTTTCGCCCCCAGTCTTCTCTCTTTTGCCTCTTTTTTAACCCATTTTATTTTTTACACATTCCTTCATCCTTAACACTTTTCGTCTTGTATTCATTATAATTCCTGACACTAACTAAAACTTGGTGGTCTTTTGAATACACGACTTTTTCCAGTATTGGGTGTTCTCATAACTCCAAGAGGAAGATAAGGCACCTTTTTGTCCCCCTTTCCCACTGTCACTTTCAAAATCTTTCCGTCTTTCAACGATCTCCCCTGCTTTGTAAGAACATGGATAACTGACTTGTCAGTCAAAATTTGGGACATGCTCCTACTTTTCCTTAATGACTTTTGAACTTGGTTTGCCGATTTTACTCCATCTCAACTCCTGTCATCATTTATTTATGTTGATGACCTCCAGCTGTCAAAGTTCTCCATCTCTACTCTACCTCACCCTTCTGAGAGGGTGGTAGTCAGTTAGTTTTTGCCATCACTCCCCAACTACGTTGTCTCCAAGATTCTGTTCTGGTTCTTGAGTCTCATTGTAACTTTTGCTTCTCAGCTCCTCTCTTGCCTTCATTTCCTTCCCTTCACAGTCTTGACCTTATAGTCAGCTATTTCAACAAGGCGCTATCCTCTTACCCTCAAGTCTCTTGTTCCCCTCTCCTTTTGC